TCATTGCCCACCTCTCTCCTACCCCACCCTTTGCTATATAACTAATTCCATTCCCAAAGATACCTTTTCAAACGTGCATTTGGTTGCCTCACACTTTTCCCCTTTCCTTCAATGTCATCTTTATGAGGTGGTGCTACTTGTCCTTGGTTGTGTCTACTGGCCTCAAGATTTTCTTGAGCTTCTTAACTCTTTTGTCCTTGGATTCTGCCCTTAAATTCCCTACTATGACCCTCCTCATCATGTGCGTTAGTTGGGTATGTGGCTTGGTACCATATGGTAATTGGTCTCTAAAATAGCATTACTTGGTTAAATGGTCATTCTGAACCCGGAAAGATATTCAAAAGTTTTGGGAATTGAATTTAGTTGAATCAGATTTAATAATTTATTAATAAAAGTAAAATATATTGAATTTTGAATTGAGCTTGGTAGGAGTAGTGCATAGAATTTTCAAGTAAACCTGTTTAGATTATGCTACCCAGATATACCCACAATCAAAGTTTATCAGAAAATAAAACCATCAGCTAGTTCCATGAATAGACTTTTCATTTCCAAATACACAACTTTGACTAAAATAATTCAAATAGACTTAAACTTTGCCAAAAGAGTATTCAACCTCCGAGCATTAATAAATATATTTTAAATTGATAAATATATTTTAAATCTAATTCAATTACAACTTTCAACCTAAGGTACATTTGATAAAAACTAATAAATAACAAATTACATTGAAATACAGACTAAATCATTATGTTAAAATTTTATAAAACCTAATAAATAATAAATTACATTAAAATATACATAACTAGTTATGTTAAAAAATAAATTTTAAAACTAATTAAATCTTACGAAAAGAATTTATAAAATAAAATTTACATTTATTTATATTATAAATTAATATTATCTTTTAGCAGTAAGAGATTTAACCATTTATTTTACAATTTTTTTACAATGTTTATATGGTGATTTTTGATTGATCGTTTCAAATATATTTTTAAAAATAAATTTAAAAGAACTAATAAATGACAAGTGATCTATTGTTAAAAAAACTTATTAAAAAATATTGTTACCGTATCAAAGTTTTTACCATCACATTTTGTCATTATCTCCCTTCTCCATTTCTGTATCTCGTGAATGCTGGAAACCAACCACTCAGTTGACAAACTTAAATTTAATTGTCTCGCAGGTATCAAATAAACCATGTCCCAAATATAGCAATGTATATGAATAAATATAATCCAAAGGAATATTTGCATGCATGGACGTTTGCAGTAATTAAACTTAATGTATGCTTCCTAATTAAACTTCCAATAAAAAAGATTCAAAATGGTAGGTTGGAACTTGACTACGTTCGTGGTAGCCATGGCAACAAGCTCAAAAACACTAACAAAAACTCTTTCATTTGACTTCCAACCAGCAAAGCTTTCATTCTCACAAATTCTTACAATGAGAAAATATGTTTTTCCTTCTATATATATGCCCAACTAGCAAGCACCTTATGTTCATCCCTAGCTACTACAACAAACCTAAAACCTTCATTCAAAAAACCAATGGCTCTTAACATTTCTGTCCTCATATTCTCGCTTTGCTATATGCTTTCCTTCTCTCTCTTGGCATCATTCTCCATCGCAGATATCAGTTCATCCTCCATTGTTCCACCTGAAACCATTTGCGGGTCCACCGTAGACCCTACTTACTGTAGCAAAACCGTGCTTGCCAATCAAAATGGCAACGTCTTCGACTATGGTCGCATTTCTTTTCAAAAGTCCTTGTCCCAGACACGCAAGTTCTTTAACTTGGTGGGTTCGTATCTTCAAGGTAGCTTGTCGTTCTCTCAATACACTATTGGTGCTCTTGAAGACTGTCGATACCTTGCTGAGCAAAACTTTGAATACTTATCAAACATTTATGCCACTACTAGCCAAGCTAGCGCTGTTCTTCCGACTTCTCAAGCTGAAGATTTTGAAAACTATCTCAGTGCCGTTTTGACTAACCAACAAACATGCTTAGAAGGTCTTCAGAGTACAACTTCAGATGCAAGAGTGAAGAATGACCTGTTATCATCTTTCTCTGATGATTTGAAGCTTTACAGCGTTACGTTGGCTTTGTTTTTAAAGGGGTGGGTGCCTGAGAAGAAAATCATCAGATCGTGGCCCCAAAATGGAAGACATTTGAATTTAAAAAATGGTCGCTTGCCATTGGTCATGTCAGATCGAGTACGTGCTATTTATGACTCAGACACCATGGGAGGAAACTACTAACCACTGATAATGGCGGAAGTGTTGTTATTAGTGACATCGTGGTTGTTAGTCAAGATGGAAGCGGAAACTTTACCACTATCAACGATGCAATTGCTGCTGCACCAAACAACACAGTTGCTGGTGATGGGTACTTCCTTGTTTTCATCACTGAGGGAGTGTACCAGGAATATGTATCCATTGCCAAAAGCAAGACGTATTTAATGCTTGTTGGAGATGGGATCAATCGGACAATCATCACGGGCAATCACAGTGTTGGAGATAATTTTACAACATTCAACTCAGCAACAGTAGGTAAAAAAAATAATTTGCACGCACCTGCATATACGATAAATTTTATGACTAATGTGTTGTATACGTATGTGCAAAAATATATATATCGTTTTATCCCGTATCTATCTTCAATTACATATGCTTGGTGTGGATTTGCAGCTGTTGTTGCTGAAGGGTTTGTAGCTGTTAACATAACTTTCCGTAACACTGCTGGAGCGAGCAAGGGTCAAGCAGTGGCACTAAGAAGTGGAGCAGATTTGTCAACATTCTATAGCTGCAGCTTTGAAGGGTATCAAGATACATTGTATACACATTCTCTCAGGCAATTTTATCGAGAATGTGACATATATGGCACCGTTGACTTCATATTTGGAAATGCTGCCGTTGTTATGCAAAACTGCAATATCTATTCTCGTCTCCCTCTGAAAGGAGAATCAAAACACAGGAACTTCCATACAGAATGCAACTGTGAAAGCTGCTGATGATTTGGCTCCAGCTGTTGGCACCGTAGAAACCTACCTTGGGAGGCCATGGAAGGAATATTCAAGGACAGTTATCATGCAGTCCTTTATGGACAGTTTTATAAACCCTGCTGGTTGGCATGAATGGAGTGGTGATTTTGAATCGAGTAGCTTGTACTACGTAGAATATAATAACACAGGACCTGCTTCTAACACTTCCAACAGAGTCACCTGGCCTGGTTATCACGTCATCAATGCCACAGATGCATCTAATTTCACCGTCTCTAACTTCTTGGCTGGGGATAATTGGATTCCCCAAACTGGGGTCCCATATTTAACTGGCTTGATACAGTAAACTAAAATGTTCTTCAATATATATTTTTGTAATCTGTATGATTTAATTTCTCAATACGAAATTAAATTAAAACACTTTTATTAATACTAAAAGATTTTATATACACAATCCCACATAATACCGTGTATATATGTTTATACACAATGATTTTTAAACAACAAAATAGATATTTAATGTAGGCCAAAAATAGACATTAAATAGTTATTGGTGTTGGATTTGCGTTGGTTAGTGTTGGCTTTAAAATTGACCCTAAGTACAGATGGCTTAGTTGATGATAATTTATTAATACTTTTGATTTTCTAATTGAATCTGTTTAGCATTGGCCACGGCGACGTAACGCCCTTTTATTTTAAAATTTATTGGTGTTAAGTAAAATCTATTTTTAATATTAGTTTAATTGGTGTTAATTTGACCATTGTTAATGACAATACTATGAAAATTTCTCATGTGGTAATTTCATGTTCAAAACTATAAATGAAACAAATAGAAAAGAAAATTATAATATATGAAGAAGACGAGTATACTTGAAATCGATGAATGTGGACGAAGAAGATGAACATGGACGAATAAAATGAGTTTAAATGAAAAAATTGAGGAGAAGAATATGAATGTTGGTGATAAGTTTAAATGAAGAAGATGAGTTTAAATGGATGAAGCCTATGATCTTTTGCCTAAGGTTAAATTTTTAGAAATGTTACTTCCTTGTCACAATATTATGTCGCTGTAATTTCTATTGCAATTGTGCAAACCCACACTCTTTTTTCTATTGCTAGTCTCCTCTTCACGTGAAGCTATTTTCCATTGCGAAACATCTTGTTCTCATCTTCTCTCTATTTCCATTCTTGATTCTCATGAAACATCTTTTGTTAATTAGATGTTCATTTTCCTCTTTCTCGCATTTGTTTTGCAATACTATAGAATGGACTTTCCACAACAGTTAAAATAATCCAAGGATGTTTTTCTAACCATCATAGACGATGTCATTAAAAGTGACGAAGGCTAAAATAATGGTCATTAAAAGTCTTAAATGATGATGGACAATGTTGTTCTTGTACCAATGGTAAAAGTCATCCAATAAAAGAAAAAAAAATGATGTGTTGCATATCACGACGAGATTAAAAAAGACAAATGTACCACTACAAAAATATATCAATATAGTAGGGGTTTGTTTTTCGGGTTGAATTAAATATGTTTTTAGTCCCTAAACTATTGATCGTTTTTGGTTTTCGTCCCTCTTCCAAAGTAAGGTACAATTTGGTCCTCAATCTTTAAAAAACGTTCGTTTTAGTCGAAAAAACGAACGTTTTGAGGACTAAAACGAGGACTAAAAACAAAATTTTGAGGACTAAAACGAACGTTTTTCTAAAGAATGAGGACCAAATTGTACTTTACTTTGAAAGAGGGACGAAAACCAGAAACGGCCAATAGTTTAGGGACTAAAAACATATTTAACCCTTCCGGGTTTTAAAACCTCTCCTAATTATCTACAGTTTCCTACAAAACCGCAGCAACTTTTTCTTTATTTTTTTATCGTGATTTTTCGATGATTTTAAATAAAAATGGCAGTTAAATATAATTTATTTAATTTTATAAATATATTTCCAGACGCAAATGTTTGTTTTCCACCTTCATCCCCGTGTCGTTTCTTTTTCGGGTATTCTTAAATTTCTTCTTAACGTCGTTTCCTTCTTCACCTTCGCCCTCGACTTCTTTATCTTCATAACCCTTCGTCACTTTGCCGTCCCTGGTTTCCTTGCCTTTTCCTCTTCCAAATCACTAATTCTGAAAACCCAAGCTTCAGGAGTTCATGACGTTGCGAATGCTTTTTGAGGAGCTCTCCGATGGCGTTTTTGAGGAGCTTGTGATTCGCATAACTTTTGTGTCTCGCCATTTCCATCTCCCAACCTTCGTGTCTCGCCGTTTCCATCTTGCGATGTTCACACCCTACCGCTGTCAGCGGTGTCTGCGCAACCGTCGACTGTGCTCTCGCCGCCACGGCCAAAGGCCGAACTCGCTAGAGTAGCGCGATTCTCGCAAATCTGTTTGGCCGGTAGAGGCGGAGGCATCACATGAAGACCAGGAAGTCTCACACTGGATTGATGAAGAACAGGATGCCGAAGATTCAAAGAACGGTGACGCCGCTGTAGAAGAAAGCGTGCTCTCTCGGAAGGTATTGTTCCCGAAGCTTCTAGGAGAAGCCGATGATTATATCTCCTTAATAATTCTTCTTCTGCATCTTCTACGTCAATAAAATGGTTAAATTTGGTTCAGGCATAAACGGATCCATAAGATAGCGACATCAAAAGCACCGCAACTTTTTCTTCCTCCCCGAGCTTCTTCCAATGTGATCGATGCAACAATACCTCCCTCCCCAACGCGCCGCCACCGATAGCGGCGGCCCCGGTGCCGCCCCTCTTCTTCCCCTTTCTCCCATCCTCGTTGTTCTCCTTGCTTATCCCCATAATCGCTCTCTTCTTCTTCCTGCTTCTGATCCTGCAGGCGTTGCACAGAGACTGAAAAAATTAACGATAAGAGAGTGAGATCAAGGGTTGATGTTAGTCCAGGTGGCGCGATCTGGGAAATGAAGAGAGTACTAACCTTAGGCCCTGCCGGACCACCCCTCCAGAGTGGAGTCTTGGTGGTGCCGCAATAGGCACATGTTTTCTTCTGCTCATTGTTGCTGCTTGGATTGTTCCCCGAGGAAGGCGCGTTAGGGTTTTAGTCCTCACCCTCCGATCCCTGCACAACAACCTCCATTAATCAAATAAACCCCGAAACCTCCATGGTCTGTCAATTGAGATATCTCTTGGATGTCCATTTTCTTTTCACGTGCATGTGTTATGTATTCATGCCTTCTTTCTATATATTATAATTCTTAGATGCAGACTGTAGAGGATGAACAAAGGGAGCAACTTGCAAAGGAAATTTCAAAGGATTGAAGTTGTGGTATTTATTTAGAATCCTCTGTTTTCAGGTTTATTGTTGTTCTTTTTGACATTCTCCATAATGTAACTAATTCATTGTTGTTGTTCTGGATGATAGCTTACTCTGAAATACTTCTTTGAAACAAAAGTTACAGTAAGTGTCTTCTGAAATTGTTTGTCATCCAATAGTGTTGCATCTTGTAATTAAATGTTGAATGCCATCTTTAATGCAGATCAATTATCCATTTGAGAAAGGACCTTTGAGCCCTCGTTTTCGTGGTGAACATGCTCTCAAAAGATATCCAACAGGGGAGGAACGTTGTATTGCTTGCAAACTTTGTGAAGCTGTAAGGCTTTGATTATTTATAATTTTGGTTCGACTATGATCCTTGAGAGCATGCAATCACCAAAACTTAAAGACTGTTTTGTATATTCCTGCTATGTATGTTACCAAGTGTTGTTTCTATATTGGTTAATGTAGAAAATAATGCGCAGTTGTCTTTTGTATTTGAAAAAACACTCCATAAGATGTCACTTTTTGAAGCATGATTAAAAAAAGTAAATATATTGAAAAAAACATGATTCAGAGTGAGATTTTATTTTAGAATTTGCAACCTCACCGATGCTAACACTAACTAGGAAAGAAAACTAAACAAAATGGTTGTTGTGTAAGAGTATCAAGGGACTCTATTGTTTAGCTTTTGGCATAGTTTATCCATATGGTATTGTATTCTGATTCTCATCTCAGATTCAATAATAATTATGTTATTCCATAAAACATGTGGTTAGATTATTCCAAATTATCTATAACATCCAACAAAGGCAGAGATTAACGTTAATTTGGAATTCTTGGATTGTTTTAAACAGTAATGTAGTGTCTGCTCTTGAGAAAGATTAAAATATTGAAGACCAATAATGGGAAGAGGGGTTTGATCGTCAATCTACATTCATGCCTGGGTCCTCAATCAATATACTAGAATTTGTATGATTGATTTAACAAAAAGATTTAAAATATTTTAATTTCTAAACTTATCCAAATTCCTGTAACAATATCTTATTATTAAGTTTTGTAAACTATACTCTTTTCATATCAATTTAGAAAACTAAAGGTTTAATGTCTCGGTAGGTCCTTATTTTTGTCCAAAATTTCAAATAGATCCTCTTTTTTTTTGGCATCTCAATTGGGTCCTTATTTTGTGAAAATTGCATCAATTAGACCCTTACCGTTAAATTAGACCTAACGACAGTTACTGAATATTTGACGTGGCACGTTGGATTTTATTTTTAAATGACATGGTTAAATGATTTGGATTTGAGTTATTTTAAAATTAAAAAATTAAAAAAGAATTAGGATCCTTTTTACAGCATATCATCTTCACCAATTCCATCCCAGAATCCTTATCTGCTCCATCATATCCTCATCATCCTTATATGCTCCATCATATGTTCATCGTAACCATCATCCCTTCTTCTATCATCCTTATTTTTGCACCAATTGATAATCTTTAGACATAAACAAACTAACCTAGCCCAATCAAAAAGAGCAATTGAAAAACAGGAAAGAGCAATCAGAAAGAGCAATCTGTAAATGAAGAAATTCACAAACATGGAAGGAAGGAAGAATTTGAGGCCTCACAGTTTCAAGAGAATCAGCACCCAAATATGAAAATTTAGTTTGTAGAGTCAAAGTGGTTTCATTAATAGAAAGCTCCTTTACAATTGTGCATTGGATAATTTGCAGAGTTTCTGGATGAGCCTTCGGCTAGTAAAGGGAACATATAAGAGAAGTCATTGTTGAAAGTTTCTTCAAGCACATCTCGACAGTCACCGTCAACTCACTCCCTTCCGTCAACGAAACCTCCAAAAAGGTTCCAAACCAATTTCACCCAAATTTCTTTTAAAGAAACGAAAATAAAAATGAAGGATATGGACGATGAGGAAGAGATCCAGTCTCATCTGTCGCCGACGAGCGAATCCCCGATATCTTCTCTGAGGGCGAACGGTTGAATAATGCTAACTCTTGGAATGCTGACACCATTGAATAGTTTGGCATTAGCGCTTCTGATTCAACAGTCGTCGAAGGGGAACGATGGGGGAGTAGGCGGCGGAGGAAGGGAGGATTGCTGGAGCGGAGGCGCAACGATGGTACTAATTGACTCATGGGGAGAAAGGTATCTAGACTCATGGGGAGGATTGCTGGAGCGGAGGATTCCAAAGGAACCCTAATTTGAGGAAGCACTCAGATTTCTCTAATCCCTAATTTTCTTAAACAATTCATTTTAATTAACTTCTCTCAATTTCTTTAATTTTAAAAAAACAAATATCCATGTTAGATTAACTTAACCCTTGCCACATCATTCAAAACACTATCGTCAGCATGCCACGTATACATCAGTCTAACGGTGTTTGTTCAATTTGACGGCAAGCCTTTATTTGTTTCAATTTTTCAAAAATAAGGACCCAATTGAGACACCGAATAAGTAAGGGACCTATTTGAGATTAAACCAAAACTAAATAAAAGCTTCTATCTTTTTCAAGAATTAAATTTACCGTGTCTCATATCTAAAATATATGTTATTGTTACTATTGATTCATAAAATATTATTTTAAGATTAATTTTTATTATTTAATATTAAACACAATTAGTCATTTATCAGTTTACAAATAAAGCTCCTTTTTCAAAATGTATGCTTTTTAATAGACAGTTCGATAGGTGAAATGGACTACCCAGTTAGGAATTAATCACATCGGTACATGTTTTGCTTTTATTAATTTTTTATTAAAAAAATATTTTATTAATTACCAACTGTTTTTGAAAATCTCTGGCGGTTTTAGAAATCCCTGGTAATTACCGGCGGTTTTTGACAACCCTTGTAATTACCGGCGGTTTTGAAAATCCCTGGTAATTATTGACGATTTTGGAAACCCCTGGTAAAAAGCCGTTGGTAATTATTACCGACGCTACTTTTTCAGCGGTTTTCGTAACCGCGGAAAATGTATTTAGGTGGGTTAAAACTGCCGGTAAGTTGAAAAAAAACCGCCGGTAAAATTAAATATTTTTGTAGTGAACCTACCAATGTAAAGAAGAAAAACATCTTCATCTGAGTATTAAAAGGCACATAAATTTTTCATTGGTTAACCATTTACTTGCTTGTGAAGTTGTAGGATAAATCAGAAACAAGTAAATAAATCCTTGAATAAATCTAAAGTACTAATCGTAAGTGAGGAGGAGACTCACAGTGTAGAACAATTTACAATTGGTGGAGGCTTGTAGAGGTTCACCGCTGGTGGCCACTGTAAGATGCAAGGGGAATTGAAAATGAAAAGGTAGGGGGAAGAGAAAATGAAAGTGTGGGAGAAAGAGGAAACACTTAAATGAAAGTCGTGCGAGAGAAAGAGGTACATATTTTTTTATGAAAATAATACACATTCGAAGATGGTTCTCTATATAACCATTGTCATTTTTTAAAGTTTTAATGATGATTCTCTATATAGCTATTGTTATTTCTCGTCTATGCCACTTTTAACGACAATTTTCTATATAACCATCATCATTTATACTTTTAATGATGGTTATTTTGATAGCTGATAAATGCCTAATACAAGTTAATTTTGAGACCAATTTTGCACTTATCTTGTTTTAATTTTGTCAAATAATTTTAGAAAACACCCCAATTTGAATTGTTTTGCAGATTTTGATTACTATAGAGAGTTAAAGTGGAAAAATAAAGAAAATGAAGGAAATCCAAGTAATTTTGGACAAATCTAACATTGGCGCAGCTAAACAGTAATTTTGAGACTTGAGTCACACGAGGAAACCCAATTTGGAAGGAAACCTCAAACATTGAACCTAAGGCTAAGTCATGAAGATTCTTTCTTGATAAAGTTATTTCAAGGGCTACAACAACAAATGCATGATCTAGACTAGTGTTGAGCAAGTCTTAATTATGATATTCATTGTATTATTGTTGTTGTAGAGATGACTTTCCAATCTCCATAGGATCATGATGTTGGTGTCATATACTAAGTTGAAGGGGGTCTCTTAGGTTGAAGATTGAGAAGTGTAGTAGTATGCTCGCAACTCTTCTTACAAGTCTTTTAGCCATCAATCCTTGGTTAAGTCTAGACTCTTCTTCAATTAAACTAAGATGACTTTTCTAGCGGCTTTAGCCTACCTATTACATTGAGGATGTTCCACTAAGTTGTTTATGTGATTTATGTAGAGTTTGATATAGAATTTTGGCTAGCTCTATGTCTATAAACTGCCATCTGTTGTTGATTATGACAACATGCGGCACACTCCATATCGACATTTAATGTTCCTCCAAATGAAGCGTTAACTAGTTAAGTCGTGATGGTAGTTAGAAGTTTCGCTTCAATCCTTTTACTAAATTAGTTGATGTAGACTAGTAAGAACGTATCCTTTGCGTGGATCAAAAGGACCAAGAATATCCACCCTCCTCTTTGCAAAAGACTACAAGGAGAAGATATGGTGTATCTCCTATTGTTTGTCGTGTGAGATTATTAATATTTTTGGCAAGGTATGCATTTTGGGACGTAAGTAACACAACCCACTTCCATGGTATAGTAGAAGTACCCAACTTGAAGAATTCATGTCGTCATGGTTCTCACCTTAGAGTGATACCCACATATACGCTTATGTGTTTCACGTATGTACTTAGCCTGCTCCAAAGTAACACATTTTAGGAGAGGCCGACTGTAGTCCCTTTTGAAAAGGTCATATCACCCACCACCATCTAGTGGACAACTCTTCTTATCCAGCCCTTGTCTTTTCCTTCCAGGATACCTCCAATCTTGAGGTAATGAATATAGGGTGTCATCCATGTTGCTTCCTTAGTGTTGACATGCATACACTCGTACATTTTATCAATGGATGATGATGATAATACTTGTTATAGCAAAGACTTGTACCTTCCATTCTTTTTAATGTTGGCCAGCTTACAGAGCAAATCGACTCTTATGGTGTCTCACTAGGATATATGTTAGAGTTTAACCTCAACAACAGTGCCAATTAGGTTTCTCACGAGGTGGTAGTACTGTAGTAAAAGTACATCTTTGACTTGGTAGTCACTTGTGAGGTGGCCAACTGTAAGGCAAGAGTCTGTTTGACATATTATTCTCCCATCTCTTTCGCCAAGGTGAGGTCGACTATGATGACTTCATACTCAATCTGGTTGTTCGATATCTTAAAGCTAAAATGCAGATATTTCTTTATTAAGACATCATTTGGGCCTTCTAGGACTGTGCCAACTCTTACTCCTTTCATATTAGAGGAGTCGTCTACTATCTAGTATCTAGTTTCAATGTCCTAAAGGGTTTTATTGATTAAGTAGATCAGT